TATACCTGAAATGCTGCCTGAATCCTTATATTTAAGGTCCACTCCTCAATTCAGGGGGTTGGGGCTCTTTAAAATTTCCGAACACCCGAGCCCAGAACAAAAAACACCCAGCTACCAGCAGGCATAAGCCTCCTAGGGAGAAGCCCGAAACCTCAGCCGCTCCAGCTCAGGTCCAGCACTTTTGGGGACGAGAACAGTTGGTCCGCTAACGGCGCAAAGGCCGGTTTAGGGTTTATGGGGTTTCGGAGTTACTGCCTGAGCCCTGAAGCAAAAGCCAAAAGGCTTTGGGGGCTTAGGCTTTAGGGCACGTCTTGAAACAAGAGGGGGAAGGGTTGCACTCAAGCCTACAACGATTCGTTCGCCATGTTTCAAAAGAAGGGGCTTGCCAGATTACGTCGCTACGCTCAAGGGCGTCGGGGGGCCCACCCGCGCCCAAAAGCACTTGACAGCATCGAGAGCCTCCAACTCAACAAAATAACCTAACGCATATACCCCAAACCCCAAAAGGCCTATACCCGGAAACCCCGAGCAAATCCTACACCCTAAACTGGCCCTAAACCCTTGTGAAAACCCTAAACCCTAAACCCTGAACCCTAAACCCTAAACCCTAAACCCTAAGCTTTCAAGAGAAGAGTCATAGTTGCAGCAGTAGAGCTCTGAATCTCCCCTCATCTCTGCTCAAGTCCTCCCAGCCCGGCCCTGAAGCCAAGGAGCCCGACTAGGGTTTAGGGTTTAGGGTTTCGGGTTTAGGGTTTAGTGTTTAGGGTTTAGGGTTTAGGGTTTTAGGATTGCCACTGCACCTTAACTGTGGGGACTCCTCCCTGTGTACTTCTGAGGTACCTTACAACTTATCAACCCTAATCTCTGAACCGTTTGTGTTTTTGGGTCTTGGGCTTTCTGTGGAACGTTTGGGAGTTTGGGGTTTAAACCCTGGGCCTTTTGGGTTTAGGGTCGTTCTTTGACGGGTTCTTGTGAGCCTTCTGGGGAACTCCGCACCAGGCGTTCATGGCCGGCCTGGAGGCCATGATGAAAGCCGGAGGAGCTGGGAAAGGCCTCCTGGGAATCGGTTTTTTTGGGGGGTTTTAGGGTTTAGGGTTTAGGGTTCAGGGTCCCATAGCCACAAGGGGTCTTTATTGCACGCAATTGCTCTCATGTTTGTGCTACCCGCGGAACAGAGTTCGTGTGGCAGCATCCTGATTCCCGGCCGACTTCCCAAGCCCGGATGCAAAAAGGGTTCAGGGTTCAGGGTTCTGGGTTTAGGGCGAGGGTTTAAGGTTTGGGGTCGCCATGGGGCGGGGTTGAGGGAGTTAAGGCTCGTGGTTGAGGGTTTGGGGTTTAGGGTGAAAATCGGGTTTGGGGCTTCGGGTTTGGAGTCTTGGGGTTTGGGTGCATGTAGGGTTTGAGGTTAACCCTAAACCCTAAACCCTAAACCCTAAACCCTAAACCCTAAACCCTAAACCCTAAACCCTAAACCCCCACTAGGCGCCCGGACGATGCTCGACGCGCTGCTGCCGGCCGCCGAGGCGCTCCTGGCCGGCCAAGGCCTCGCAGGCGCCCCAAGGGGGGGGTGGAGGAGGAGGGGGGGGGTTTAGGGTTTAGGGTTTAGGGTTTAGGGTTTAGGGTTTAGGGTTTAGGGTTTAGGGTTTAGGGTTTAGGGTTTAGGGTTTAGGGTTTAGGAATAGGGTAAATAGGGTTTAGGGTCCAGGGTTCAGGGTTTAGCATTAAGGGTTTTTAGGGCTTAGGGTGAAGGGCTTAGGGTTTAGGATGAAGGTTTATGGGTTTAGGATTGTCGGCTTAGGGCTTCGGAGTAAGAGTTTTGGGGTTTGTCTAAGGGTGGAGAATGTCAAGGTTTAAGACTTCTGGTTGCAGGCATCCTCTCAGTTTGTTGGTACGAACCTAGACTTTGGGGTGTGGGGATGGAGAGGGGGGTTGGTGAGGGGGAAAGGGGGCTTGGGGACGAAACCCCAAAACCTAAACCCCACACCCTAAACCCTAAAGCCCTCAAACCCTAAACCCTAAACCCCTGAAACCCTGAAACCCTGAAACCCTAAAACCCTAAGACCCCTGAAACCCTGAAACCCCTAAAACCCTGAAACCCTAAAACCCTACAACCCTGAAACCCTAAAACCCTGAAACCCCTAAAACCCCAAAACCCCAAAACCCTAAACCCTAAAACCCTAAAACCCTAAAACCCTAAAACCCTAAAACCCTAAAACCCTAAAACCCCAAAACCCCAAACCCCTGAAACCCTGAAACCCTAAAACCCTAAACCCCTGAAACCCTAAAACCCTAAAACCCCAAAACCCTAAAACCCTAAAACCCCAAAACCCCTGAAACCCTAAAACCCTAAAACCCTAAAACCCTAAACCCTAAACCCTAAACCCTCTTCTTTCTCATACTTGGGAGGATTCTAAGCACCCTGAAGGCGCCGCGGAGGCCGCCAAGGCCGGGGCTGAGGCGACGAAGGAGATGAAGCCAAAGGCCCCGTCCCTCTTGGGGAGCTCCTTTAGTAGGGTTTAGGGTTTAGGGTTTAGGGTTCAGGGTTTAGGGTTTAGGGTTTGGAGGAGTGGGGTTTAGGGTTTAGGGTTTAGGGTTTGGGGTTCAGGGTTTAGGGCTTAGAGGAATGGGGTTTAGGGTTTAGGGCTTAGATGGGTAGGTTTAGGGTTTCGTGTTTAAGGGAAGGCTTTGGACTGGCCTATAGGGCTGAGGGTGTGGTTTAGGGTTTAGGGAGTGGAGTGGCCTAGGCCTTCAGGGGACTGGGGTCGCTCAGGGTTGAGGGAGTGGAGTGGTTTAGGGTTTGCGGTGTGGTTTACGGTTCCTAAACCCTAAACCCTAAACCCTAAACCCTAAACCCTAAACCCTCAACTAAGGTAGCTTCCTTAATTAAGGGGTGTTTTGGGCTCTTTGGGTATGCCATGGATGTAGGGCTTAGGGCTTAACTGAGCAAGGCGCTTACACATGAATCAATTCAGTTTCTTTCAAGCCCTTTACCAGCCTTTAAATTCAGTTACTTAAGGCCCTTTACAAGCCTATAAGTTCAGTTTCTTTAAAGCCCTTTACAAGCCTGTAAATCTTATATCTGGCCTACTAAGATTCCAGAGCCTTCATTTCGGGTTGGCCTTGCTTGGTGTTGTGGGCCATTAAAGGCTCACAGAGATATTGGTAACCAAATTACGCTTCTAGGTTTGTGTGTTCCTGCTTCTTCTTCTTCTTATAATTATCCTGCCTCTTCTTCTTCGTCAGTCGCTTTCGTCATGAGAGCCGACCATATATTCATTCGTGAGCAATCAACAAAGGGCAGAGATTGGTAGCGCACCTGCTCAGACAGACAGCACGTGAAAAGTACTGTGCCAGGCTGGACGATCGGAGAACGTGCCAGAAAGCGTGCTGAAAGGCGCAGCCTTCAGAGATCGTGTCCACTGAAACAAACTTGGGGGCGAAATGAACACCACAGGGTTTGTGTCCATAAGGGGTTATAGAGTAGAATGGCATGAGTACTTGTATAACAGGCATTAGTAGTAGTACTCGCAGTGCGATCTGTTTGCGGTGTCCATCTAGTTCCGCATAGGCAGTCAACAAACACGCCTAATGCTTCGTGATTTCCGCCTGCCAGTGCGAGCTTGCATAACAGCATGGTCTTTGGGCCCCCAAACCCGAGAAGAATGAGAGTCCCTAGAGCCTTAGGGCACGCCATAATATAGGGTCGGATTGGTTACTTATAGTATTCCCGTATGGTGCTTTATTTATCATTGTACGAGAATACCCCCCCCAAAAAAAAAACAAAAAAGCGATTCTAATTTCTCAGGCCCCCATAGTAGCCAGTTGAGTGCTTTCGTTGCTGCCTTTGCACCCAGATTTATTGTTTTGGAGGTTTCGCTTACCGGCTTAGCGTGAGCAAGAAAAAGTAGAACTATCGAATTTGTTAAGACATGAACAACTGCAAATAAATAGAAAACCAATCAGATGTACATGTATGCATGTACGTATGTATTGTATTGTATTGTATTGTATTGTATTGTATTGTATTGTATTGTATTGTATTGTATTGTATTGTATTGTATTGTATTGTATTGTATTGTATTGTATTGTATGTATGTGTGACGTTTGTTTGTATATCTATATATATATATACCCTCGAACTTCACGAGCTCCCTAAAGAACACCCCTAACCCAACAAGCAACCGTGACCAAGTCCTCCAAGAATCGCTTCAGGCGGTGTATACATGCTCTGTACGGAGTGATAAGCTCAGAACTTGTAGAGTTTAGGGTTTTCTAAAGACAAAAAGCCTAAAACCCTAAGACCCTCAAACCCTAAAACCCCAAAAACCCTAAAAGCCCTCAAAGCCCTGCGAGCCTCGGACAAGGCAACGCCGACCCTGGAGCTGTCGCGGCATCGATCTTCTTCGATGCCCTGCTGTGATGTTGCGGGAGTGGTTTAGGGTTTTGGGTTTTGGGTTTTGGGTTTAGGGTTGAGGGTTTGGGGCTTATTTAGGGTTGAGGGTTTGTTACTAGTCACATAGGCCCACGATGGCACACACACACGCACACACAAATGGGCAGTTCTCGAAATTGGCACCCCTTTAGGGGTCCTTTTTGCATAGTGCCATACTATATCTTGGACCCAAAAGCGGCCCCCAATGTAGCGAAAGACCCATATAAGGCTGGTTGGTGCGTAGCGAAGCGAAGCACTGTAAGCGTCTCGTTGTTGCCTTGAACAACCCTAAACCCTAAACCCGAAACACTAAACTCTAAACCCTAAAGCCTTGAACACAGTTTGCGGTGTCGAAGCCTTTGCGGCTCCAAGGGTCTGCAAAGGGTAGCGGTAGCTTCTTGCTAGGCTCGTACTTTAGATTTGCCCACCGCCGCCCCATGCACCTCCAGGGAATTGGGTAGTTCCATGCTAGGATGGCTGAAATCAGCTGAACTGCTCGATTTGCACAAATGATGCACAGGGTGTCACGGGGTCGTGAGGGCTGGCGGGTGGACTCTGCTGTGAATACAACTCTAGAGACGTTTTGATTATCCGTTTCCGGGTTGAATCCTGCGCCCTGAACCCATGAAGCTCCCATTCATAGAAGGAGGTTTTCTCAACTGCATCCCTTGGCATAGGGTTTAAGGGTTTAGAGTTGAGGGTTTAGGGTAGGGGCGTTAGGGTTTAGGATTTAGGGATTTTAGCTCACCCTCGACATCAAGCGCGAGGCTTGTGTCGACATCGTCGTTTAATTATCGGCTAGTAGGGCGATCGGAAGGTACCAGGAACAGCGCCTGTGCCACTCGAAAACGGCGTCAGCTATGAAGAACCCCGCCCCCCCCCCCCCCCCCCCCCCCCAAACAAAGAAACCGTATAGGGGCAATATAGGGATTATGACCTGTTGTCTCAACACGAGGCTTCTGACTATTTTTTCGGGGGCTTCCCTGGGAACCGAAGGAGCCCGAAAAAATGGGGGTCATATACCCTTCCCATGAAGGTATATGAACCAGAACCCCTTTACGGGTTCATTTTAACCCTAAACCCTAAACCCTAAACCCTAAACCCTAAACCCTTCTCCCCAAAGTTCTTAGGCAAATGGTAGGCTGTCGCGGCGGGGGGAGGGCTGGTGTTTCGAGGCACCTCAGAGTCCGGGTCCACCTGGGTACAGAGTTGTAAAGCATGCTGACCCCAAACCCTAAACCCTAAACCCTAAACCCTAAACCCTAAACCCTAAACCCTAAACCCTAAACCCTAAACCCTAAACCCTTGCTCTGATGGGGGGTGGAGCCCTATAGATGTTTGTGGAGTCCATGTCTGGGTTCTTTAGGGTTTAGGGCTTAGCGTTTAAGTCTCTTGGACAAGATGCGTTTCGGACCTTTAGGGTTTAGGGCTTAGGGTTTAGGGTTTAGGGTTTAGGGTTTAGGGTTTAGGGTTTAGGACCTCGGCAGCCCAGTGGTACCCTTTGCCCCTTTTTGGTACTTCGCTCCTACTTGTTAGCGAACCAACCAAAAAGGTGTAATTGCCTTAATTATAAGATGGTTAATGGGCTGCCAAGGCACATTTGAGGTTCAGAGTATGGTATCTTTGTGAAGGAGGTCTTGGGGGGCTTTAGTGGCTGCAGGGGGTTTGGAGGCGCGACACCCTAAACCCTAAACCCCAAACCCCAAACCCCAATCCCCAAACCCTAAACCCTAAACCCTAAGAAGGGGAGGAACCTGCAATCCCAGCGTGGCTCTCACGCCGCCAACCTGTTTTACTCGCCCTAAACTTGGGATGTTCCCCTTATACCTAAATCCCCCTTGGGAGTTTTTTTTAAATAAATTTTGTGTATATAAAACACAACAGGATAAAAATATGTGTTTCAGTTAAGGTTCTGAGGGGAGTATAGATGCTAACAGTCCTCAATAGGAATTATAGTAGGGGGTCTACTAGGGACTGCTAGTATAAGGGGGAAAATCCCTAAACCCGAAACCCGAAACCCTAACCCCTAGCCTAACCCCTGAACCCTAAACCCTTATAAACCCTAAACCCTTATAAACCCTAAACCCTTGTAAACCCTATAGACCCTAAAGCCTAAACCCTAAACCCTACGTCAGCCCAAGGACTCCCAGGACACCTCAAGCGCCGGCCCCGAAGAAAGCTTACTTGGAGGTACGTGGTACTTATTAACCAGTTAGAACTCTACTTTTAGCCCACTTATAAGACCCTTAAGTGCCCTAATATGGTTATAAGTAGAGAGCGTTATAACTGTACTTATAGCCCACTTATAAGACCCTTAAGTGCCCTAATATGGTTATAAGTAAAGAGCGTTATAACTGTACTTATAGCCCACTTACAAGACCCTTAAGTGCCCTAATATGGATATAGGTCAGGAGCGTGGCCGGATGTCTTCGAAGTCTCAAGTTGCATTCGACAGGGCGAAGTAGGGTTTAGGGTTTGGGGTTTGGGGTTTGGGGTTTAGGGTTTAGGGTTTAGGGTTTAGAGTTCAGGGTTTAGGGTTTAGCGTCCCTATGGTTTAGCCTTTATGAACCCTAAATGCAAGGGCTCTGGCCAGTGCTGTCGGGACGGGAGAACAGCGAGGGCCTCCAGTAGGCCCGCATGTCCTGTGTTTGGGCTACTCTTTCCTTTCTACGCTCCCTTAAGCAAGAATAGACTCACTTTTTGTGGATTTATAGGGTTTAGGTAGGATTTACAGGGTTTAGGGGTTTATATAGGGTTTCTTAGGGGCGAAGCAGTTAACTTCTAACCTTTTTGGTTATAAGCAATCCTATCACAAATACAAGGTTGGCCAGGGTATTCAGCCCCTAGGGTTTAGGGTTTAGGATTTAGGGTTTAGGGTTTGGGGTTTAGGGTTTAGGGTTTGGGGTTTAGGGTTTGGGGTTTAGGGTTTAGGGTTTGGGGTTTAGGGTTTAGGGCTACCAGGGGAGTCCTAGACGTGCGGCGCCATGGGAAGAGTACATCCCTGGATCGATGACTGGGCCCCTTGGCAGGATTTGAAGGGTTTGGGGTTTAGGGTTTGGGGTTTGGGGTTTAGGGTTTAGGGTTTAGGGTTAGGGTTTAGGGTTTGGGGTTTAGGGTTCCCAATTCCAGCTCCTTATGGCTGATTTTTGTTTGGAGGGCCAACGGGTTCTTCTTATGTGGTACTATCAAAGTCGAGAAACCCCACCCCTCTGCCCAACAGAAAAGCTGCAAACGGGGGTCCAGGTAGGTTTTAGGTCTGCAGGACTGTGTTCAAGCACTGAAATTCCTTTTCTATCGGGTGCAGGGTGGTGAGTAAGTTCCTTGATTCTAAAGCCAACACACAGACAGACAAGGAACTACAGTCGAACCTCAATCGAGATCCGAAAGGGCTTTAGGAGTTCCCCCCCTTAGGGCCTCAATCAGAGGCTGGGGTCCTTAGTGGGGAGTATTAGGCAACCTTGGGCTACATGCTACCCTTGAACCCTAGCCCTACACCCTAAACTTCTACACCCTAAATCTTAAGAACCCAATGGTACAAAGGGCTGCCTGCTGCGGCTGTGGTCCAGGTTTGAGGAGGGTTTGAGGTTTTCGGGTTGAGAACCCTTGAACTTCAAGAAAGGTAAGACTACCCGAGTTTAAGGTTTAGGGTTTAGGGTTTAGGTTTTTTTTTACGCCGCAGTCAGGCTTAGAATAAAGATCTTGGAGCCCGCAGTAGGGCATGAAGCAGGTTAGGATAAGCCAAGTTAAGATACTCGGAGCCCTACTGAGTTTCTCTCCTACTTCTTAAGTTAGTTCCCTCTTTAGCTTTCAAGTGCACCTCTCCTACTTCTTAAGTTAGTTCCCTCTTTAGCTTTCAAGTGCACCTACACACCTGAAATCCAGGATGACGACCAGCCGAAGAAAGCCGTAGAGCCTTTGAGCCTTGGTAGCCCAGCGGTACCCTTTACTTTTTTTGTTTTCTTTGTTTTTTTTTTTTTTTCTTTGGGGGGGGGGGGGGGGGGGGGGGGAGTCCTGGGCTCCCTTATAAAGTAGCCAACCCAAAACAAGGGTACCCTTAGCATTGTGAGAGTACGGGCCCCTAAACCCTAAACCCTAAACCCTAAACCCTAAACCCTAAACCCTAAACCCTAAACCCTGGCTAATTACTAAGGAGCTACAGCCTGGCGGAGAAGTTTGCGATTGTTGGCGTGCTTGAGACCATGACCATCGGTACACTGATCTTTGCCGTCCGCGACTTGTCTCCTAACATGAATATCCAAGAGTTTCGGTATAGGGCCTAGGGTTTAGGGTTTAGGGTTTAGGATTTAGGGTTTTGGGTTTGGGGTTTAGAGTTTCCGGCATACTGTACAACCCTTCCACCGTTTAACCCTAGAACCTCTGGAGGGTGACCCCATGGTGCCCTAAACCCTAAACCCTAAACCCGAAACCCTCCTAAACCCTAAGCCCTAAACCCTAAACCCTAAACCCTGACTCTTACCCTAAACGGAGAACGGCCTTGCACTGCGCGGAACTTGGCCAGTGTCTGCTTTGGCTTGGTAGCCCAGTGCTGCCCTGCACTTTTCTTGGGGATTTAGGGTTTAGGGTTTGGGGTTTAGGGTTTGGGGTTTAGGGTTTTGGGTTTGGGGTTTGGGGGCTCAAGGTTCCCTTATGAAGTAGCCAACCAAAAACCAGGGCACCCTAGGCAGGTCCAGTCGGAGGCCCGGAATTTCCCACATTGTTTAGGGTTTAGGGTTAGCCAAGCCATGGCTGCCTGAAAAACCATTACGCCCCCTTTCGCTTCACAAGTCCACTAGGACACTTGGCTGACACAATTGCAAATGGGGGGGGGGGTTAGGGTTTAGGGTGTAGGGTGTAGGGTGTAGGGTTTAGGCAATTCAAAGGGTTCGTAGGGGTTTTGGGGTGTAGGGTTTCGGCAATGGCTACGGCTCAAGGTTTCGGCTCAGGTTCCTTGATTTGCTTGGGGTTTTGGTCTCCTTTGCACCATGGCTTTTCCAAATGCACTGCTTCCTTCAGAGATACCAATCGAAGATGATGAAGATTCCCCCTCAAAGAGAGCCCGTATGGAAGATGCTGATGCTGCACTAGATCTTATGCTTGAACGACAGAAAGCCTCTCCTGCGGCATCCTTGGAGATGGTTCCTGCTTGGGCTCGACAACTTCAAGCTTCGGTGGACAGCAATGCTTTGCAGATTCGAGAGGTTTGCCAGGATTTTCACACTAGGCTCAGTTATCTGGAAGACCGGGTGGCACGTCCTGCTGAAGATCCTCGTGTCTCAGTATTGACTGAGAAGGTTGACGAGCTTACTAGGTTGGTTCATGGTAGACCCCCTTCAGTTCCTATGAATGCATCATCAGGGAATGCGGCTGATCCATGGGCTTCCTTTTCAAGGCAACAGCAAGAGCGAACAGTTCAGAGGTCCAGCTTCGGTCCCTCGAGTTCCCAGCAGAGTCACGATACGGACTTTTGTCGAGTTATAGTGGGAGGTTGGTGTTTTGACACACCAAGACGAGTCATTTTGGAGGATCTTTCCCGCTTGGTGGCAACCTGGAGTCAGGCTGACCGAAGCCTTATTACCAAGCAGATGGTCTTTGGACAGCGTGCTCAAACAGCTCACTTGATCCTACAACCGTGCGACTTCCCGGGGGACCGGTTTTACGCGCTTCAGGAATCCTACTCCAACAAGGTGTTCACTCGAAGTGGTGAGGGCATGTGGATGTCGCCGTCGCGCTCTCCTGCGCGCCGTGCCCTGAATAAGGTGACCAAGAGGGCGTTGGACACTATCTCAGGACTTTGGCCGGCGGATTCCCCACCAAAGCTTGAGACCTCATGGCAAAGGCAGATTGTCTGGCTTGCAGACCGCAGGGTAGCAGCAGGTACTCAGGACATGTTGGTCGCTCAGCCCGCCGAAAAGGTCATCGTCAAGGTCATCGGAAAGGATGAAAGCAAGTTTTACTTTAATGTTTCGCTCCTTGCAACAGAGACAAAACAGACTGAAGCCGAAATCGAAATTAAGGTGCAAGAGGCAAGCTGAAACTCTGCCACTTCCTGCTATGAATTCTTTATCTCTGACTCTTGGAATATTCAAGGAAAGTCAATGAGTGTTGTTTCCGAATGGCTCAGACTCCTGGACCCTGAGATTGAGTTTCTTGCCTTGCAAGAAGTGGGAGGGACCATGAACCTTCTCACACGGGAGCCAGGTGAGACTCGACCGCTGGGGCCATTGGACGAGTACAGTTTTCAGGATTGTGAGTTGGCGGATTTCTTTGTTTTTGGGAGCTCACGTGTACAGTCGCATCTGGCTCAGATGATCTTGCTCTCGAAGGATGCTGTTGAGTGTGTTCTTGACACGTTCGAAGGGGAGCGAGTGATAGGGGTACAGTTCGTGGCAACGGCTTCCAAAGTCAAACGATGGATTTTCTCGATTCACCTTCCTCACAGTGACAACGATGAGGACACTTTCGCAGTGGCCCTCGCAGAACTTAGTACAGTGTGCCATCGACATCAATCTGGTCAGGTTGTAATCCTTGGGGACTTCAACGTTGAGAGAGAAAGTCATAGAGCTTTTCTTCTTGACGACGTGCTGGGTCGCTTTGGGTACAAAACCTTCAGAGGTGGAGTGGCTACGCGCTTTGGCCGAAATGGCTCTTCCGAATTGGATTTTGCATGTGTTAGTCGGAAACTAAATGCTATGATTAGGCGGATTCCTCAAGCTGCTCGCTTGATCGTTCATTCACAGTCCAGACTGGATATAGGATCAGATCATGAACGTATCACCCTTGAACTCGCACTGGGAGATAAGATTCCGAGACGAGCTCGAAGGCGTCCCAACAAGGGAAGGTGTGGCAGATGGAGCGTGGGTTTGAACCTCAACGAACATGTCAGCCAGCTTCAGACAGTTTTCTCCGAGATGTCACTGGTGGGTAAGTGGGAGGCCCTCAAAGAGACCCAGGTTGCTTGTTGCTATAGAACTCCCACTTACAAGTTCAAAGATAGTCCTCAACTAAAGCAGATGTGCAAAGATAGGACGCAGTGCCAAGATCCAGACACCAAACTTCTGCTGACACGTGGTATCCTCGCCAAGCGACGAGCAGAGAAGATTGAGTGGCTTCGGGACCTAGAAGAGCGTTCGTCTCGTGGTGAAGCTGGGGCTATCCGTTATCTTCGAGGTCGCAGTAAGGTTTACAACAACATGGATGGTATGGCCAGGGAGTGTGGTGGGGTTGATGAAGCAGCAAGGGCCATACAAGAACACTTCGATCTTCTCTTTAATCCCACAGTTTCGGATGAGCACAAGCAAACCGTTGCGGAAGTGATGAGTGCGCTTCAGTTGAGCTCTGGAGAGTTTGCAGTGAAATTGTTCACTAAAGAGGAAATTGACAAGGGTGTTGCTCGGTTGAAGCCTGGAAAGTCCACAGGCATGAGTGGGGTGTCAAGCGAGTTGCTTACAGCTATGTGGACAATACCTCAAGGACAGTGCATTCTAACTGATTTCTTGAATGACATGCTCCAGAGCTCGGAAGTGCCTGCAGAAGTTCATCGTGCCTTTGTTGTGCTGCTGCCAAAGGTGAGGGATGTTCTTAGACCATTGGACATTCGTCCTATTTGTTTAGTTGAGGTTACGAATAAGCTATTCAGCTTTCTACTTTTGCAACGTTTGGTGGACTCTTGGCCTGTCCCCAATTGTCAGTTTGGCGCAGTAAGTGGAGGGCAGGTTTTGGACGCTTTGGCGGCAGCGCATTGGCAAACCGGCGCAGAGGCTATGAGGCAGCGGCGTTCAGTGTGGATAAATGCGGATATCCAGAGCGCTTTTGATTCACTAAATCATTCCACTATTGCGCAGTATCTGCAGGAGCATTGTCCACCGCATTTATCCCGTGAAACGCTCCAACTTCTTCGTATAGTGTGCAGCCCTGTCATGAAGTTCTCTTGGAAGGGCACAGACTGGGAGACCTTGCAAGGCCAAGGAGTCCAGCAAGGACACACCCATAGCCCCATAATATTTGCATACATCATCGGCCACTACGTGCAAACTGAGTTCGAGAGGTGGAGGGTTGGGGGTTCTTCTTCCAGCACTGGGGACTGGGGATGGCTGTTTATTGACGACCTCCTGTTACACTTCGATGACTGGCATACAGCCTCCACCCTAACCCCTTTGATGCAAAAGGCATTGGCCTCCCTGGGCTTGCGACTGAATCTTCGAAAAACCGAGTTACTCGGGCACGAGGAAGCGTTGCAGGAAGGTAGGCGACTCTGCCTTCCTGAGGATCATTTGCTGCGTCAGATCTCCTGGAAAACCAGCACACAGTATCTGCGCAAACCGCTCAGATTCCTTGAGGTTGGAGAGTCAACCTTTCAGCTCTTGTTTCCATCCCTCAAGCGAGCAGTCTACGTGGGAATGGAAAGCATGAAATCCGTCTTCAAGAGCCTGTTTTGGAGAGAAGCTGAACTCGCTTTCAAGTTGGTAAACCGCTATGTGGGTTCCAAATGGTTCTGGTTTGGGCCTTTACTTATCCCGATACAGACTCATGTGCAGGAAGTTCAGACGTTGCAGGTGTCGGTCATGACATCGGTTCTAAAGCTCTTCATTCCAGAAACTGTCAAGCGAGACGCGGCTATGTCCTTACACCGTTTGAGAAGGCGAGCGCTGTTGGTGTTTCTGGGGCGAAATAGGCAGGTTTCCTGGGCGCACATTTGGCGAATGAGAATCTGGGGATACTTTGGCCATGTATTGCGGAGGCATGACACTCATCCCACTAAGCGAATCCTTCTAGGTCAGGACAACTTGCAAAGGCCGCAGGGGGGTGTAGCGAATACTCCGCTTCGGTGGATACGGAGCTCAGTGGCCAAGGCCTTCTCGGTTGAACCAACTGTTGAGCAGTTGCTGATTTGCGCAGCCGATAGAGAGCAGTGGAGAATCCAGGGAAGTCAGTACATTGTAGCAATGGGAGACAGTGAGTCCCATTCCCACCTAGCGCAAAGCACTTGGAGTCACTGGCAGTATTCAGTTCTGCAATTGGTTCCTTGGCTTTTTCCCTGCTCGATGGTCTCAGTCGACGGACGAACATCGCTTATTTGGATTGATGAGTGTGAGGGCTTTCAACAGTGGGACCTTGAAGATGTCAGCTTCGAGGACCTTTGGACCTTTGTGACTCGAGTTCGTATGCAGAGTGATGCTTGGGTGTTCATGATCCATGTTTCCACGGAGATGTACGAGGCGCATGCAGTTATGTGGGGTCGGTTGGCTGAGGAGTGTGTGACAAACTTTCACCAAATTGTGCTACTTGACATTTTAGATGATGTCACTATGGAACGGGTGACGCAGCTAGCCTTGCAGTCACGAGAACTGTGAAGCTGGTTGTGTGAGCCTGACTTTCCCGGCAGCTGTGCAGACCTGGTTGTAAAAGGGTTTCGGCAAGTCAAAGGGTTCAGAACCCTAAGGCCGAAACTCTAGACCCCACGCTTTTCCAAGATAGAAGTTAAAGGCACGCCAGGCCGTACGCTTTTCTCAGAACGTTTGCAGCAGCCAAAAGCCAGTATAGGGTTTAGAGTTTGGGGTTTAACTTCGCAAGCAAGCCTTCTGACTCCAAAAAGAGACACTCAGCAGGTTGAAGCTTTTCGACTGGCACTACTGTAAATCCCTCCAACCACCGCCCACCACCTGCGAACCCGAGGAAGGAGCAAGTTCCTTCAGAGGAAAGATCTGACGCCAAGGCGCGCGGCTTCAGGTTCAGGGTTTCATGCCAAACGCAACCCTGCTAATGGTACAAAAATCCTCCCCCCCCTCCCCCCACGCAACTTTTACCCTTACAATGCTGTTAGACTGGATTGTGTTTTCATGCCTACATTGTTACCATTCCGCGTGTTGCGCTTTATCGGGGTCAGGTGAATTTAGGTTAGTGGGATGAGGGAGCCCTAAAACCCTAAACCCGAACACCCTAAATCCCTTGAGTTACTGACAGTTACCCTAAGGGTCCATGTACCTCATTATTATATGCTAGGGTTCAGGGCTTAGGGTCAACTACCCAAGCCCTATAAACCTTAAAGGTCCTGATCCAAAAGAACCTCAGCCAAAAACACTATAGAGCTCCAGGTAATGACTCTACCTCCTACACCCTCAGCAACCCTAACCTCAACTCTAGCCCTATAACCCCCAAACTCTACAGACCCGAAGTGAGCCATATCATAGAGACCCCAACCTTGGGGACTAAATGAACCCCTGAAAGACCTTATGGTCCTGAATAGGGATTATAGTAGTATCGTAAACCCTAAACCCCTAAACCCTAAACCCCCTAAACCCGAAACCCCCTAAACCCGAAACCCCCTAAACCCTAAACCCCACTACCCACTAAGCCCCAAACCCCCCAAGGAATCCCTAAACCATCCTGTGCCGGAGGCAGGTCAATGCTTCGCTTTTGGGCGCCTTTTTGCCGCCCGGGCTGAACTGATCGTTTAGGGTTTAGGGTTTAGCCAAAGGCTCCTATGTAGCACCTTTTTGGGACCCCAAAAGGAACTACATTGGAGCCTTTGGGTAGGGATTAGGGGTTGGGGTCTTCAAGCTGTTCTGGGCTCAGGGTTTCCTGCGCCCTATAATCCCTAAACCCTATATACCCTAAACTCTATACATCCCATAGACCCTATCCTCGATTCAGTTTGGAGAACGCGAGCCGAAGGGAATTCCCGCTGGGGCGTTCAGGTTTCAGGTTTGGCCCTGCAAGCCTTCATCCCCTAAACCCTAAACCCTAAACCCTAAACCCTAAACCCTAAACCCTAAACCCTAAACCCTAAACCCTATAAACCTTAAACCCTGACCCTAGACCCCAACATCTAGGGTTGAACCCCTTGCCCTTGTTTAAGGGGATTCCAAGGGATCCGAAGAATGGGCCCTTGTTATGTATAGTGTATAGAAGGATATATAACGGGGGGACCCAAATTAAGGGCCCATACTTCGGATCCCCTATTCTAGAACTTCGGCCCCTCGAACTTCGAAGATTAAACCCTAAACCCTAAACCCTAAACCCTGAACCCTGAACCCTGAACCCTGAACCCTGAACCCTGAACCCTGAACCCTGAACCCTGAACCCGAAGATTGGGTTTGTTCCTGGTTTTTCAGGCTTGCGCCTGCGTTCATCCTCATCCAGAAGGCCTACTACGACACGCTGATCGAGTACCGCGGGTTTCCTGGCAGCACATGGGGAAATTGTTGTTGTAAATCTCAGCCATCTTCGGGTACCCTTCATGTTTTAGGGTCCGTCTTATAACCGGATCCCCAAAGGGATCGTAATTAAGATCATGAGGAGTTCAGGGCTTTAACCCTAAACCTTAAACCCTAAACCCAGGCTGAAGCCCGAGCAGCAGAGCATCGGGAGTTACCTCAACCTATCTCTGCTGTCGCCGACAAAGTTCACCTGGGACTACACAGAGGTCGTAGCGCGCCCGAAGGTCAACCCAACTTTGCACGATACCTGGAAATGGCACGAGGACGAGTAAAGTCGTACCATGTGTGGTGAAGCAGTAGACGCAAGATTGCCAGGTACTAGTTCTCCACATCTGCGGAAACCTCATCAGTCGTGCCTTGGGGCGGGGGGTCGGGTGGGGCAAAAGGCCCGCGGGAAGCCGGTATCCGGCTACGCCCTCCCGAAGGAACTTCTGGCCACGTTCTCATCCAGCAATTTTTCCCGTGGCCGAGGTGTGCTTAGAGGGCTTAAGGCCCTAGCTGAGGGCTCCGATTCTTTTTAGGGTTAGTTCTAGGGGAGTCTAGTATGTTACCCCAAAATGGTACTACACAGGAGCCTTTGGGATAAACCCGAAATCCTAAACCCTAACACTTAAGCCCTAAACCCTAAACCCTAAACCCTAAACCCTAAACCCTAAACCCTAAACCCTAAACCCTAAACCCTAAACCCTAAACCCTAAACCCTAAACCCTAAAGCCTACCCCAAAAAGGTACTACATAGGAGCCTTTGGGTAAACCCTAAGAGTTTCGGGACTCAAAGGAGTGCCCGCTGACGAAGTCAGGCCGTGGCGACTATGGGTTGATTGCGAGGCTGAAAGAAAGTGCTTTGGTTCAGGGTTTGGGTTTATGGTTTAGGGTTTAGGGTTTAGGGTTTAGGGTTTAGGGTTTAGGGTTTAGGGTTTAGGGTTTAGGGTTTCAGAGAGCCCGGGTTCAAGGGTTCGAGGGTTCAAGGGTTTAGGGTTTCGGTCGTGCTCTGTTTTCATGCCTACAGCCATGCACACTTCTCCCCTTAACATGCCTTTGCTTGGATACCCACGACCATTGCAGGCTGGTCCCTTGGCCGCCACAGCCTTTCACGCCTCATCCCCGAAACCCTGGAGACCCCCCCAGAACGCTGAAACCAACCCTAAACCCTGAGCCCTAAACCCGAACACGGGTGACAACCACAAGCCCGAAACCTTAAGCCCTACAAGCCCTGAACCCTAAGCCCTGAACCTTAAACCCTAAACCCTAAACCCTAAACCCTACACCCTAAACCCTAAACCCTAAACCCTGAACCCTAAACCCTAAACCCCAAACCCTAAACCCGAAACCCTAAACCCTAAACCCTAAACCCTAAACCCTAAACCCTAAACCCTAAACCCTAAACCCTAAACCCTAAACCCTAAACCCTAAACCCAAACCCTTCAAAGGGGGGTTGGAGAGCGGTGCTGGGGTGGAGACATGGAGCTTTCACCCTCCTGCCCGCAATGGCGCCATGTGATCGAGGAGTCCGGGGTTCAGGGTTTATAGGGTTTAGGGTTTAGGATTAGGGTTTAGGGTTTAGGGTTAGGGTTTAGGATTAGGGTTTAGGGTTTAGGGTTTAGGGTTTAGGGTTTAGGGTTAGGATTCAGGGTCCCCCCCCCCCCCCCCCAGTACTATAACCCCCCTTTTATAAGGGTTGCTAGGTAGCCTACAAAGACAAGCAGGTTTAGGGTGTGTTTACCCAGTTGATGGGGCCCCGAAGGCACTTATATGTGGGCTCTTGGACACTTGGGGCTACTGTGTTGTAGCATGTAGATACAAACTATAGGATTCCTAGGCAAGCTACCAAAAACAAGGCTTGCACTTTGTTAGGTCATCACTATAGAGCCGCTTTATAGGGTTCCTAGGCAACCTGCAGAAGAAAGGTAGGTTTGGGGTTCTTACATATGTGTAGGTCCCGAAGAAGGGCGCCCTTTTTAATCCTAGGTTACTGGGCAACCTAGTTCTGGATTCTTAAGGTAGGGTTTAGGGTTTAGGGTTTCGGGTTTAGGGTTTAGGGGCCGCCCGGCTACCAGGAGGTCCTCGATGAAGCCGGCGGTGCACTGAAGTGGCCCGAGCTGAGGCCATCACCACACTCTGGGGACGAGTTTTGAACCCCAAAAGGGATTATAGTAACCCCCTCCTCTTTCTCATCTCTCCTAGAGTTTAGGGTTTAGGGTTTAGGGTTTAGGGTTTAGGGCGTGCCAAACGGGAGCGCGCTTTGGGAGCGCGCGGTAGTATGCAGACCTACCCACCCCAAGACCGCCCACTTACAACTCTCAAGGAGTTAAGACCTTTTATTTTTTTTACAAAGCATCACATGAGTCAGCACTCACGCCCTTTTTGGGGATTTCCATAAGGTGCGTGCGGAAACGAGGCAGGGTCCGTGAAGACAGCTTGGGTTGGCGCGAAGGGGCTATGAAGGGATGGGCTAGGAACAGACAAAGGCAGCGAGGCTTGGTTGGCGCGAAGGGGCTCCAGCCAGGAAGAACACACAGTGAACTGCTTGGGTCGGGCAGAGGGCCACGGAAACAGGGCTGGTGTGGCGGATAGCTCGGCTTGGCGCGAAGGGGGTAAGGTGGGGTCAGGGTCAGGACCAGGCACAAATTTGCAGCAAACGGAAGCGAGGCAGGACAGATTGGGTTGGTGCGAAGGGGCGAAAGCCAGGGAGAGCGCCCCGAAACAGGACACAAACTGGTGTGCGGACAGCTTGGCTTGGCGCAAGGGGGTAATATGATTCGAACAGGCCAGAGGACAGGGCAGAGCCAGGGCCAGGGCGCAAAACTAGTCAGGGCCAGGGCCAGGGCCAGGGCCAGGGCCAAGGTTTGGCCCCTAGCTTGACGTGAAGGGGGTAAGGTGGGGTGCCGGGCCAGGTCAGGTCTAGCTTGACGTGAAGGGGGTAAGGTGGGGTGCCGGGCCAGGTCAGGTCATAAGCGACGGAAACAAGGCAGGGTCCGTGAAAACCCAAGGCACGTGCCAGGAACCGAGAAAGGCAGCGAGGCTTGGTTGGCGCGAAGGGGCTCCAGCCAGGAAGAACACACAGTGAACAGCTTGGGTTGGGCAGAGCGCCACGGAAACAGGGCTGGTGTGGCGGATAGCTTGGCTTGGCGTGAAGGGGGTGCTAAAGCCAGAGAGGGAGAGCGCCGAAACAAGACACAAATTGGTGCGCGGACAGCTTGGCTTGGCGCAAGGGGGTAAGATGACTCGAACAGGCCAGAGCCAGGGCCAGGACCAGAGCACCGGTGCGCGGACAGCTTGGCTTGGCGCAAGGGGGTAAGATGACTCGAACAGGCCAGGGCCAGGGCCAGGGCCAGGGCCAGGGCCAGGGCCAGGGCCCTGGGGCCAGGGCCAGGGCCAGGGCAGGGGGCCCTGGCCAGGGTATGGGCAGGTCAGGGCCAGGGTCAGGGCCAGGGCCAGGGTCAGGGCAGGGCCAGCGCCAGAGCCAGGGCCAGGGCCAGGGCCAGGCAGGGGGCCAGGGCAGGGGGCCAGGGCCGGGGGCCAGGGCCAGGGCCAGGGTCAGGGCCAGGGCCAGGGCCAGGGCCAGGGCCAGGGCCAGGGCCAGGGGGCCAGGGCCAGGGCCAGGGCAGGGCCAGGGCCAGGGCCAGGGCCAGGGCCAGGGCCAGGGCCAAGCCAGGGCCAGGCCAGGGCAAAAGGGAGTTTTTGGGCCCGAACGGCCCCTGGTCCCCTCAGCCCAGCGGACGGGGGTTGGGGACCCAGGGGTCTCCAGGGGCCTTCCCAGGGGGCCTCCCAGGCAGGAGCCAAGAATGTGCGCGGACAGCTTGGGGTTTAGTGACTACTGCTGTCTCGGCCTGTGCCTGCCTGGAGGGTAAGCCTGCCTGGAGGCCAGCTCGGTCGCCCGCCTGGGGCTCCCTCGCAGGGTCTCACTGAGCGCTCGACCAGCGCCCGCCTACCCCAAAAGACAAGAGAGTGGGGTGGCGGGCGGGTTTAGGGTTTAGGGTTTAGGGTTTAGGGTTTAGGGTTTAGGGTTTAGGGTTTAGGGCTAGGGTTTAGGGGGTATGGCAAAATCCTCCCTTAGACTCGGTGTATAATATACATTCATAGGTCAAGGGGTATGGGTTTGGGGTATGGTGAGATGTTCTTAAGAAAAGGGTTGATGTTGGGATGTTCCCCCTTACTAACAGTCCTTAATAGGGATGGAAAATCGGGGGTACTCGAAGCCCCACTAAGGATTGTTCGTATAAGGGGGAACATCCCAACGTTTGGGGCTCATATTGCCTTAATAGGAATTCTAGTAGTATAGCCCTAAAAGGATGTAAGGTTCCTATACCTTAATAGGACTTGTAGTAGTATAGTATAGGGTCATTTCCTACCTTGGGCCGCCCCTTTTTTTGCAAATCTGCAGGCTTTGTAGGGCTTAGGGTTTGGGGTTTGGGGTTCAGGGTTTAGTTCAGGGCTTATCATAGTAGGTTATACCAGCAAACGAATGTGTACTTCCTACTGTTAGGGTTTAGGGTTTAGGGTTTAGGATCTTTAGATAGTTCCCCAAAGCCCAAGGGCATAACCTTAAGCGTCCAAGGTACAACCCCCCGAGATCAAACGGTTAGAGAGCTGTGGCCCGGTGGGGGGGGTTTAGGGTTTTTAGGCTTTGGGCTTTGGGGTATTTAGGGTTTGGGCTTTGGGCTTTGGGCTTTGGGGTATTTAGGGTTTGGGGATTATGGTTTAGGGTTTAGGGTTGGAAGCCAGAGGTATACAAGCGGAATGTTCCCCTGGCAGCCATACGAACAAATAGTAACAAGGCCTACACGCCCTCAAGCCCGTTTTGACGGCGCATCGAGAGTTGCAAGTGGGGTTACGCGACTTTCTCTCAAAGAAGGTTAAAGTCGAAAAGATGCTCCTTACCCGTAACCGTTCTTGAAACTACCCTAAGAACCCAAAACCTACTTCTTGGCAGGTTCTCATTGCACAACCCCCTGTTAAGATTCTTATGTATAGCCTACAAGAAGATGGTACGTTTTGGGTTCTGAAGGTGGATCCTCAAACCCTAAACTAAACCCTAAACCCTAAACCTTCACGTACAGGAAGCTTCTCCTGGAACGCTGTTCGGCCATGGGTCTCCGTGCGCAGCATCTGCCCCTGCGCGTGCTGGCCAGTATTCCGGAGCCACCTGGTTATGGGTTTGGGTGTATAGGGTTTAGGGTTTATAGGGTAAGAGGGTTGTGGGCACTCGTAACCGGGGTACTATTGGCCGCCTGGTTTGTGACATCTTTGCTAAGTTCCCGGATAATTATCGTGCGTGTTTTGGGAAATTGGGGCTGAGGGTCGGGTTTCCTTGAGGTTTTGAGGATTCCGAAGTAGAGGACTAGAGGCTTGCAGGGCCAGGGTTTGTAGCGTGTCCAGGAAGGATTCCTTCCATTTCTGGCAGCTCATATCTGAAGCAGGTGGTGGCTGGAGAAACCCTAAACACTAAACCCTAAAGCCTAAACCCTAAACTCAACCCTAAACCCAGACATCCGCAAATCAAATGAAGCCAGAAGCTCCGTTTTTGGGCCTCTGAGAAAGAAACCCGGGATTGCGTCCAAGTCAGGGCGTGGTCCTTGGCCTAGACCCTCAACCTTAGGGTTCAGGGTTGGTTTGGGGTTTAGGGTTTAGGGTTTAGGGTTTAGGGTTCAGGGTTCAGGGTTTAGGGTCTAGGGTCTAGGGTCTAGGGTCTAGGGTCTAGGGTCTAGGGTCTAGGGTTTAGAAACCTAAACCCCAAACCGTCGGTTCAGTGTGCTGCTCCGACGGGCCGTTTGGCATGACACCATGCGCCTTCTTGACAGGTCACGGAACTTCGTAAGCAGGTTCGGATTCGGACATGGCGACCAAAGTTGGCAAGAAGGTTTAGGGTTTGTAGGGTTCAGGGCCTTTAGGGATGAGGGCTTGGGAGCAGCCTAAACCCTAAGCCCTGAGCCCTGAGCCCTGAGCCGAAGTAGGGCTGTCCATCTAGCAAAGCTTCCCTGAAACCTTTGCGGTGCTTTACTGTAACTGTCGATCCCTAGCCTTTTTGGGTTTCTTGGGTTTCTTAATAAGGAACCCTAAACCCTAAACCCTAAACCCTAAACCCTAAACCCTAAACCCTGCTAAGTGCAGCCAAGAAACTGGGAAGCCCAGGCCCTTCCTCAACGACAAGGCCTTGGGAAGCATCCTCATCGGGAACCGGCTCTGGGGTTTGGGGGTTTTGGGGTTTGGGGTTTATGGTTTAGGGTTTAGGGTTTAAGGTTTAGGGTTTAGGGCTAGGGTTTAGGGCTTAGGGTTTAGGGTCCGCAGATGCAAAAGCGTTGCGTGCGTGGGGTGTGTTTGTTTTCTAGTTTTCTAGGGGCCACGGAAGGCAAAAAGTGTCCAAAGGCCTTTAACAAACCCTAAAACCTGAACCCTAAAGCCTAAACCCTCAACCCTAAACCCTAATCTTTGTGGAAATGCTTGTAAGATTATGTGGAGGTTCATGGGCACTTATATCCCAATCGGTCTACTTAGATACTTAGAACCTACTTAGAGGACTTAGGGGGCTTTTAGCACCCTGAACCTCCAAGTACGCCCCCCCCCCCCCCCCCCCCCCCCAACTTGCCCCATAACCCCGCATCACGGCATGACCAGAACCCGTTTTTCAGGGGTTCATGTGGTCTCCAAGAACTTTCAGTGAGGTGCTTGCAGGGTGCCGACCATTTTTTGTGACCGTCCACCCTGAACCCTAAACCCTGGGGGTGGAGTCCCTAAATCCAAAGCTGCGCTGGAGCTGCGCGGCACAAAATATGTCGCCCGAGTCGAGTCCCACAAGGCTCTACAAAATGAGTTCTGATTTTCATTATATCTACAACCTTGCACGGGCACCGACTTGCAAAAAGAAAGGGCAGGAGCGTGAACCTTGGCCCACTCCCCAACACATGCCTGGCATGGTGGGCATGTGTCCCACCCTGAGCCTATGGCTTATTTCCCTAAGGGTCCATGTACCCATACAGTATATACTTGGGCCCTAAAGCTACTATATGGGAACCCCTTTAAGGCCCAAGTATATACCATATAGGTACATGGACCCTTTGGGTTTCCTGACAGGCTCAGTTTAATGAACTTGCCTCGCATTGCGCTCATGTGCCCAACGACACAAAGGACTCGACAAGCCTTGAATCAATCCCGGACCTTGAAGCCCTAAACCCTAAACCCTTATAAACCCTAAACCCTAAACCTTAAACCCTAAACCCTAAATTGGCACCCTCTGAGCAGGATGCCTGGGTGCGTCGTCCGCGGGCTAGGGATAGATCGGCTAGCCACCAGGCCACCGTGTTAGAAGCTCTTTGTTGTTTTTGTTGGCTTGGTTTCGGGTTTAGGGTTTAGGGCTTAGGGTTTAGGGTTTAGGGTTTAGGGTTTAGGGTTTAGGGTTTAGGGTTTAGGGTAGTTTAGGGTAGTTTAGGGTTTAGGGTTTAGGGTTTAGGGTTTAGGGCGTTCCTTAGATGCCGCAGGCCTTCTCGGACTGGGATGTGAGGGTTTCTTGCGTGTGGGAAGCTCTCAAACCTTGCCCTCAAATCCTAAACTCAAAAGCAACGTACCCTAAGCCCTAAGCCCCGACGCTAAACCCTAAACCCTAAACCCTCAACCCTCAACCCTCAACCCTCAACCCTCAACCCTAAACCCTAAACCCTAAACCCTAAACCCTATGTTTTGCAGCGCCTCTTTGCTTCAAGCACCAGTCAGCAGCAATCTCTCAACTTGCACTTTCGGGCTGCCGTATGCTCAAGGCATCCCGGCGGTCAGAGTGTAGGCTTCCCATGCACAGAGATCGCGCAGATGGCCCAAGCCATGCAGGTTACGGAGAGCTCATGGAACCGTGAGTTGAGAAAAGTCCGGCGGTTGCGACAAGCTCATGCCCGACAGCAGGACAAGATGTTGATATGCAGCCTCAAAGAGCGGGTTTTACACCTCGAACTTGAACTTCAACAGGTTAAGAGCCTTGTGGCTCACGCTGAGACAGGGGTGGTGGGCAATGGCGACATAGACAGCGTGAGATTGAATGTTGGACGAGAACGAGGTGTGCCGGGGGGAGGCAGGAGGACACTCCAGATGATGGATTATGAACATACGCAAGCAATCGCTCCGGAATCAGTCGCTTGCCGAGGTACACCTGCATCACAAGAGTCAGCCGTTCTGAAGCGAAAGCAAGCCGAAGCACCTTCGGTACGGAGCTCTGGGGTTCAGACTGTGACGCAGGATGTCCGCCGACATGGTCAGACGTACCTGGTGCAACCTCTGCGTGATAACCTGTGGACATGGAAGGAAGCCGCGATGTCACTGACGGAAGCATCATCTCCATTCCTCGAGAGCTTTTACTACAACATGTATGGAGACGGATGGGACGGTAGCGCAAGACAGCACGGCGAGTTCTACATAGGATCCGATAGTGATAGTGAGGAACAAGAAGGCCTTTCGATGGAAGGATCTGAGGCCAGCGCTGGTGGCTAGGGCGGCGGGAGCTGATGATGCACTGCAAGTGATTTCGCAGGCCTCGCCCTGCGGTCTGCGAAACGGGGGGTGTTTTGCAGCGCCTCTTTGCTTCAAGCACCAGTCAGCAGCAATCTCTCAACTTGCACTTTCGGGCTGCCGTATGCTCAAGGCATCCCGGCGGTCAGAGTGTAGGCTTCCCATGCACAGAGATCGCGCAGATGGCCCAAGCCATGCAGGTTACGGAGAGCTCATGGAACCGTGAGTTGAGAAAAGTCCGGCGGTTGCGACAAGCTCATGCCCGACAGCAGGACAAGATGTTGATATGCAGCCTCAAAGAGCGGGTTTTACACCTCGAACTTGAACTTCAACACCCTAAACCCTAAACCCTAAACCCAAATTAAACCCTAAACCCCTTTCATCAGGCAAGCTCGCCCCTTGTGACAGCCAAGCCCTGCTCAGCAAGGAGAGTGCGCCGCCCTGGGGCCTGAGTTTAGGGGTTTAGGGTTTAGGGTCTAGGGTTCAGGGCGTTAAAGGTCGGAGGATTCAGGAGGCGATGGGCTTTATCTTCGTACAGTGGCTATCCTTTTGCCCTTTCCTGGGTTCTGGGTTCCCTTGTAGAGAAACCAAGCCCCGAAAGGCTTTCTCCCGCAGTATCATATGGTGGCTGGTAGTATTATGAGATGGTTACTGGTCTACCAAAAGTTGTTGTCCTGCAGCCCGAAACCCTACCACAAGTCCGCAGGTGCAACATCGTAAACGAGGATATACAAGAATACCTGAATTCACATATGTATACGCATATATATATATATATATGTGCGTAAGCAACCTGGGTACTCATAGCTTGCTTGTAGGTCTAAGCCCCATGAAACCGCGCACAGCCTGCAGAACTGGCAGACCTCCCTACACCGCTCTGATAAATTGATTCCTTTATGCCCTCGAAACCCCAAAAACCCTCTAAACCCTATAAGCCCTACAAACCCTAAAAGCCTTGGGAACCCCAAGCTCGGCACAAAACACAGGGTTTAGGGTTTAGGGTTTAGGGTTTAGGGTTTAGGGTAATGAGCGACTGAAAGCCCGAGTCAGATCCGATATCATGCCGGGCAAAAGCATGGGTCCCTTCTTGGAAGCCCTTTTGACTTAGTAAGTTGGGTTGGTGAGTCGAGTTGTTGGGATTCTTCGAGGGATTTAACACTAAGTAGACTTACTGAGTCAATGAAGCTTCCAAGTTTTGGGACCTTTTCTTGCAGCACGCACCCTAAAGCCTAAACTTTGAACCCTAAGCTGCCCACACCTGTAGGAGCTGAGAAGGGCGCAGGCGAGATTGCTGGTGGTCTACTTTACTTCGCGCATGCACCTCGGACCATTGGAGACTTTGGGTTTTTGCGTTTTAGGGTTGAGGGTCCAGGACACGTGATTCTGATCTTGTTTTTTTCGCTGATGTGGGCTCTTTGATGAGACATGACGTGCGAGCATGCGCTTCCTTCACATGCCCCCGCAACCCCAAACACGAAAGCCCTGACACCCTGAACCTTTTGCTTTGGGATGTTCCACCTTGTACTGGCGGTCCTTGATGGGGATTCTGACCCCTTTGGGGACTGTTCGTACAAGGGGGAGCATCCCAACCTGAACCCTAAACCCTAGCCCTAAACCCTAAACCCTAACCTGGGGGGGGGGGGGGGTGCAAGAATCCCCTTTGTCTTCCCTGGGCAACTTAGCCAGTCAGGTGTGGGCCTTGCCAGCAGCTGAAGCCCGAGGCGCTGGAACAGGAAAATTTGTTGGGGTGAGTTTTATCGAACGGGTTTATGGTCGATATACCTTTATAGGGACTACATTTGCATAGGACCCCAATTGTAGGGTGCATTTGGCCCCAAAAGGGTAAATTTTTGGAGGATCCAGGCAAGTCCCGCAAGGGTTCGGGGTTTATTCTTTGTTGCTGTATCCATCCGAGCTCACGCGACATCCTGTAAACCCTACCACTATCATTCTTTGCTCAGAGAGCCCAACATGTTCTTAAGCAGAGATGTGGACCATAAAATCTTGGGGGATCCCGGAGTACTTTTTTGGTATTTAGGGGTTCAGGACTTAGGATGTAGATTTTAGTAGTTTTTTGGCATGTTCATTAATTCTGGCTGGGTTTTGGGCTCTGCGACTAAGGGTCTGAGGGTTCTATGTGCCGATCTTGTGGCGGTTTAGAGTGCACTGAGCCCGAAGCCTTTCAGGGGCTTTAGGGTTCAGGGTTTGGTGGCTTTGGGGTTGGAGACCCCGCAGAGTTACCTGCTACCGCGGTTGTGAAGGCGAATAGAAGCCGGGGGTAAGGTACTAGTAGGAGGGAGGGAGTCAATTCTGTGTTCCAGGGGAGAGGGGGAGCATTCCTGCATTTGCCTTCGTTACTACAAGGCATGCGTGCAGACTTCGTATTTGCTTAAGGCAGTGTCGAGGCCCTTTGAGTGTAGTTGGACACAGGGTGCGTAGAAGGTGAATGTGCCTATTTCGGGGTTTTGCAGCATGCTTACGTGCTACCAGCGCGTGGGAATGGCCAGAGCAAGCATGCCTGTACGATGATCCATGTTACCAGTGCGTGCGAAGCGGAGCATGCATGATGCCCCGCAGCAATAAAACGAACCCTTCAACACTCATGTGGGGTTTATGACTTGGGTTGAGGGTTTACGAAACCAGAGACGCCAGACCGCTACCCTTACACCAGATTAGCCGTACCAAGTACATATCTTGTTTGGTCTCACCCACATTTGTTGCCACATCTTTTCATGTTCTATTTCTATAAAAAGCAAGAAATCGACTGGAAATACCACGGTAACATGCAAATTCGCTGTTTACCAACATGTCTTTAAGTGCCCTTCTTTCGCGCACCTAGTTTTTCTATGACGCGTGATGCTGACTATACATGTTAAACCTTAAACCCTAAACCCTAAACCCTAAACCCTAAACCCTAAACCCTAAACCCTAAACCCTAAACCCTAAACCCTAAACCCTAAACCCTAAACCCTACCAAACCAAACCGCTTTCGTCCACTCTCGCATCCAAAGGTGCACCAGCTCGCAAGCGAACTGCCCGAGATCACATTCCTGGAGGTAAGAGTCCCCAGTGGGGCTTTGGGGTTTAGGGTTTAGGGTTTATAGGGTTTAGGGTTTAGGGGTTGAGGGGTTTGGGGTTCAGGGTTTAAGGGTAGCAAACCATTCACGTCATACGCCTCGGCCTCAGCACGGGTTCAACAAAAGTTTAGATTTTCGAGTTTAGGGGGTTTAGAGTGCAACTCCCTAAACCCTAAAGACTGGGTCCGTGCACTTATACAGTATATAGTTACTTTAGGAACCCTTTTCGGGCCCACGTACCTACTAATTACATAGGTACATGGACCCTGTGTGAATCATTCAGGACCCTTTTGCAGAAGCCTACGGAGTCCACGGAGGGGAGGTTTAGGGGTTTAAAGGGTTCTGGGTTTAGGGTTTAGGGATCAGGGATTGCGTTTGCCCATACCTTGAAGACGAAATGAACGCACAAATCGAGAAGTGTACCAAGTCGAAATGAACCCTGAATCTTTGTATGGTCCACATGAAGGGACTCACCCTACTAGCCTAAAGCCATATATGTGATCGCAATGGTTGTATGTGGTCCCCAAAGCAGGGCCCTGCTGTCTGCACCCTAATTAATCAAAACCTAAACCCAAACCGCAAGCCCAAAACTCGAAACCCTAAACCCCAAACCCTAAACCCCAAACCCCTGGATGCCGTCAGGGCTCAGCGCCTCCGTAGCAAAGAGTTCTGCGCCGGTGAGCCCCCTGTGAAGTTTGAGGCAGGAGCCATGGACATCTACGAGTTGGATGTCCGTGGTTTAAGTGCTGCCCATGGTTATCAGGAAATCTCTGGCACTTGCCAGTCTGTCGTTGGGATGCGAGCCTGCTGCGGCATGGACTGTACCGCAGTTCCCCAGAAGACGGTTTCACATGGGAGCTCGGTACATGTTGAAGAAAGAGCAAGAGTTTGGTGGGTTCAGTTCCCGCTGTGCCTTTTAAAGACAGGTTCTCTTGCATGTGTACTACATCCCCAGCAGCCTGTTAGAACCAGCGTGCGTTGTTGACACACAACTTGTTTATGTTGTGGTGGTGAGCTGCTAAGGCGCGTGCCACTGTGGGACCGCAAGCAGCAGCCGAGCAGAGATGTCACATTGATCATCGCAGCATCCCAGGGCAAGACATCATCCGCGTTGGGCTGCAGGAGCCTTGCGACAGCTTCTGCGACTCATTTTGCGAGATGCCAGGCCCAGCGGCAGGGTAATGAGGGGCGTTTGAAGCCCTGAACGCACTGTTGCTTGAGGACATGTGTTACTGTAGGCCGTCATTCGGACTTCTTTGATGCCCCTGCAGATATTTTGTAAGCAGCCACCGACCCCACATGGGGACTTGCTTGCATTGCCCCAGGCGTGAATGATGGCACGACGTCCTGGAAACTGCTCGACGTGAACCTCATCATAGTTGGCAGCGGGCCCGTCGCCGAACAGCTATTGCAAAAGCGACTCGATGCAGGCGGACGGGCATGCCTTCTTTGGACACAAGATTCACCGCAGCCAATCCCGAAAGGGATCGTGTTGGATCACGGCGTGGCACCTCTTGACGAAACGACTTTCGTATGGCAGCCGCCGCCAACTGACAGCACCTGCAAGGAGGTGCACCGCTTGCGGCGCCGCTTTGGCAGTTGGGACTACGGCTACATGCGTTCTGGTCCTGATGTTGTGGCTTTGCCCGACGGAGGTCGCTATGAGCTGCTGTTGGACAGCCAGAATCGAGTCGTTGGCATACGTGTGCTGGTGGACGATGCCCTGTCTTGGCAGATGTCAGGTGCTGTGCTGCTTACGGATGCTACCGGAGTCGACAGTGAAGCAGATGTACAGCAAGTTAACGTCAGCGTGCAGCAAGAAGAGGCAAAGCCTTTGATATTTACGCCTATGGGCGGAATGTCATATTTTGCAGGCATCGTGGCCTACGTCCTCGGCTTCGTCATGTCAACCGGATTGGTTCTTACCAATGAGCGGAGCGTCCAGGCGGAGCAGATTGATTGGTGGTGGTTTTCTTGGCGGAGCATGATCGTTGGCGGGCAGGTTTGGACGCAGACGCTAGTGAATGGCCTTCTCGGCTACAGGCAGCCTTTTTTTGCTGCTGCTGGCATCACATTCTTAGGCGCGATTGTGTGGTCGTTGGGCGATTTGTTCTTCATGCTCTTCTTTCAAGAGTGGCGCCCCATGCTCTTCCTCTACGAAGCATGTTGCTATGAGATATCTTGTGTGTTCCAGTTGGCTATCAGCTTCATTCTGGCCCGCTGCGGTCGCATGCCGCTCCCCAGTTTTGGCGCTTACAGCGGACAGCAGGATACAAGAAGGCAATTTCTGTGGACGGCGTTCATGTTTTCAATGAATGTCATGCTGCTCCTTGCCCAGTATGTCACCATCACAATCTACATGTATCTGGAGGGGTGGAGTCTCGGCGGTTCAAAACTACAGTAGTCTTATTCGTTTGAACTTTTTTTACCCCATGGTTATTTGGGAAGTACCAGGACGGGCAATTATACCCCATAACCCCTTAAAAAGGCCCGTTCATAGGGTTGATTATGGGGATTATAGGGCCTAATAGCCCATCCTGGAAAGGAGCAAACCTAAACCCTAAACTCTAAACCCTAAACCCTGGTAAGGAGTAACATTCTGGCCGGAATTTTCCTTAGCTTGAGCACCTCCGCTTCGGAGTTGTCGGCTGTCGGCTGCACCTCGGGGACCAACATGAACCCTAACATTGGGGTCCATGTACACCCTATACTACTAAAATTCCTGTTTAGGGTTTAGGGTTTAGGGGTTTGGAGACCAAAGTGAACCCTAACATTGGGTCCATGTACACCCGGTACCAATAGAATTCCTATGACAGAGTAGCTGAGTGAGTACACTTTACACTTTTGGGACTATAACCCCTTATAAAACTGAAAGTGTACACCTTTTGGGGGCTTATGAACTCAGTAATGAAGATGAAGCTATATGAACCGAGGTCCATGTACACCCTATACTACTACAATTCCTATGAAGGTATATGAACCGGGGTCATGTACCCTACACTACTATAATTCCTATGAAGGTATATGAACCGGGGTGATGTACCCTATACTACCAGACTTCCTATGTAGGTATATGAACCATCAACCCTTTGAGGGTTCTACTATCATTCCTATGAAGGTCTATGAGCCATAAACCCTTTCAGGGTTCTACTATACTTCCTCTGAAGGTGTATGAACCATAAGCCCTCTCAGGGTTCTACTATAATTCCTATGAAGGTACACGAGCCATAAACCCTTTTGGGGATCATTTCGTCCCCAAGGCATGGAAATGGTCTACACGAAGCTCATCTGGCCGCGCGCGGGGGATGCGAGGCGCATCGTTTCTTGGCTTTCTTCTGGCTGGCTTTGGGGACTTTGACCTTTTGGGTTATTTTGTAGAAACTGCAATGAGGGAGCTAAACCCTAAACCCTAAACCCTAAACCCTAAACCACTTTTAGGAGGGGCTCAGAAGTCAGCCAAGGTTTACGGCGACCAGCATCCGTTGGTCTCGATGATGGCCAGCTGGGCCCACTCCATGTCTGAGGGTACTCGCTTCTAGCCCTAAACCCTAAACCCTAAACCCTAAAAACCCTAAACCCTAACCCTAAACCCTAAACCCTAGGTCAGGCCTTGGGATATCTTGTCCCTTTTCAAAGCGTGGGTTCTTGTCATATGGCCTCTTGGAGGGTTCTTAGGCAACCCTACCAAAAAAAGGGGCTTGGGGTTCTGAAGGTACAAAGGATCATTATTTTGGAATCGGAACATTCTGCAGAGCGATTGTACTTGGAGGTTCATGGGTACCTAGAACCCCAATGATGAGGCTACTTAGAGAACTTAGGAGCCTTATAAGTACAGCAACTTATTCGGGTCATAAGTACCGTGAACCTACAAGTACACAAACCCTAACACCTAACCCTAAACCCTAAACCCCAAACCCTAAACCCTAAACCCTAAACCCTAAACCCTAAACCCTATGACAGGGCCCGTCCAAGGATTGGTGAGCCTCGTCAGCGTCGCTGTGCGCAGCCCTTCCTGGCGTTGGGACTGGCTCGGCACTGTGGTTTCTTGGTCGCCCGGTGGGGCCCTTTTCACTTCATATTTGTGTATATATATATACACATATGTTTATATATATATACAGATTTGTTTGGCGTTTTTGTTTTGTTTCGGTTTAGGGTTTTCGGGTTTAGGGTTGGGGGCGGGGGGAAAGGGTTTAGGGTTTAATTTAGGGTTTGGGTTTTCAAGGTTCCTTTGTAGAGTAGCCAACCCCAAAAAAGGGTACCCTTTAGTATGGTTCCTTGGCTACCAAGGCTTTCATGCTCATGTGCAATCTGGTAGTTCGACATGGGTGCCACATGACTCTGCACCCCATGGTGCTGCCACAGTGGATGCAGACGTTTGCCAAGCCCGGCTGCTATATCATCATCCACCGCCATGCACGCCTTTCCTGCGGCTATCACCGTTTCATTTTCGGCCTATTCTACATGGCCTACCGCCTCATTTGGCTCCGTGGACCTGATGGCCTTGCAGCACCCTTTTTCAACGTCCACAGCCTGATGTTGTTTTTGGTTGTCCTCCTGGCAGAAGTATTAGAAGATGCTGTGGTGCTGCTTCGCTTGCTGGTTCTGGATCCATGGCACGAGAACATGAAGCATTCGTACGAGCCACTGGATCCATTTCACCCGAAACAAGCCATGTGCAAGGATCGGCGTGGGACTCATGTGAAACAGGTACCGCTTCGGCTGCATGGGACGCGGCCTCAACATGTGCTTCAATCTTTAGCAATGATGCAGATGCGCGCCAGCCTGACTGCTGTCTCATGTTGGCTGTATGTGGGTATGGGCTTTTGGTTGGGCCTGTGCCCTCAGCCAATCCCGCTGTCACTACGACTGAGGGATTCCTTTTGGTGGTCGCAGCCACTAACTTGTTCATGACCAAACATATGTCTTTAGAAGGCTCGCAGGGTTTAGGGCTAGCCTTGTGCAAACCGCACGGGTGCCGAATTTGAACTGCCGGAAATGCCATTAGATGACCTCGTATCTTAACGGGAGTGCAGAAGCGAGGCAGTAACTCACACGTGTATCACCGTATCTTGATCATGGTCACAACGACCCTGATTTCGGACGCTCTTCACCCCCCTTCGCCAAAGACTAGACCTCAAACCCTACAAACCCTACACACCCTTGCAATTTTCGGGTCCGAGAGCTTGAGAACTTGTTGGGGGCCTTTAGGGCTAAAAGTGGTCCTTGAGGACCACATGGTCAGTTCTCTACAGTTTTATGGTTTAGGGTTGATATGGGGTTTAGGTAGGGCACCTCAACACCCTGTTTTTGAGAAGTGACCACATGAACCCTGTAATTGGGCTCATGCACCCTTTGCTATGATAGGGTTTAGGGTTTAGGGTGTAGGGTTTAGGGTTTAGGGTCTCTTTTAAGGTACTTGGACCATTTAAGCCCTTTACATATGGTCACATGATAAGACCGTATAACCCTAGACCCTAAACCCTAAACCCTATTGTATTTCTTTGATACTCAGCCCCAACCACCTCGTCAAGTTTGTGCGACCCCAACGCCCGGCCTCTGGGTCAAGACCTGCGCCCGGCTTGTACCCGGAGAGTCGCAGTGGAGGACGGCTTAGGGTTGAGGGTTTAGGGTTTAGGGTTTAGGGTTTAGGGTTTAGGGTTTAGGGTTTAGGGTTTAGGTTTCAGGGGTCCTTTGTGAAGTTTTGAAGCACGAGCCATGGACATCCATGAGTTGGACGTCCGCGATGTCAGTGCCACTGCGCTCGCGTATCAGCACGTCTCGGCCCCGTGCCAGTCGAACTCTGGGATGCAAGTCTGTCCCTTGGGGTGAATTGAACCCTAAAAGGGAATTATAGCAGAACCCTAACAGGGATTTTGCCTGAATAGGAACCAAAGTAGAACCCTTAGGGTATATGACCCCCATTTTTAGGGTTCATTTGGTCCCCAAGGTTGCGGCATGGACTGCACCTCAAGTCCGGAGAAGACAGTTACAGATGTGATCTCGGCATGCGTGGAAGCAAGAGCAAAAGTTTGGGGCCTTGGGGGGGTGTGTCGAAGCCTGTCCCCGCTGGTCTTGAGTGGAATGCTAAGGTTGTTTAGCATTGATTGCCCAATCTGCATCTTCCTGTAGGGCACTTAACTGCTGCAAACCTGACTGCATGTGTGTGTGTATGTTCTTGACACAAAGCGCTTGGCATGCGTTGAGGTACCCATCAGTGGGGAAGCAGAAGCAGCAGTCGAGCAGAGATGTCACATTGATCATCGCAGCATCCCAGGGCAGGACATCATCCGCGTTGGGCTGCAGGAGCCTTGCGCCAGCTTCTGCGACTCGTTTTGCGAAACGCAAGGCCCAGCGGCAGGGTAATGAGGGGCATGTGAAGGCCTGAAAGCACTTTTTGCTTGAGGGCATGTGTCAGGTCGTCATTCGGACTGCTTTGATGCCCCTGCAGATATTTTGTAAGCACACGCCGACCCCACATGGGGACTTGCTTGCAGTGCCCCAGGCGTGAATGATGGCACGACGTCCTGGAAACTGCTCGACGTGAACCTCATCATAGTTGGCAGCGGGCCTGTCGCCGAACAGCTGTTGCAAAAGCGACTCGATGCAGGCGGACGGGCATGCCTTCTTTGGACACAAGTTTCACCGCAGCCAATCCCGAAAGGGATCGTGTTGGATCACGACGTGGCACCTTTTGACGAAACAACTTTCGTATGGCAGCCGCCGCCAACTGACAGCACCTGCAAGGAGGTGCGCCGCTTGCGGCGCCGCCTTGGCAGTTGGGACTACGGCTGCATGCGTTCCGGTCCTGATGTTGTGGCTTTACCTGACAGAGGTCGCTATGAGCTGCTTTTGGACAGCCAGAATCGAGTCGCTGGCATACGTGTGCTGGTGGACGATGCGCTGTCTTGGCAGATGTCAGGTGCTGTGCTGTTTGCAGATGCTACGGGAGTAGACAATGAAGCATATGTACAGCAAGCTAACGTCAGTGTGCAGCAAGAAGAGGCAAAGCCTTTGATCTTTACGCCTATGGGCGGAAGGTCATATTTGGCAGGCGTTGTGGCTTACATCCTCGGCCTCATCATGTCAACCGGATTGATTCTTACCAATGAGCGGAGCGTCCAGGCGGAGCAGATTGATTGGTGGTGGTTTTCTTGGCGGGGCCTGACGTGTGGCGGACAGGTTTGGACACAGGTGCTAGTCAATGCCCTTCTCGGCTACAGGCAGCCATTCTTTGATGCCGCCGCACTGGCATTCTTAGGTGCGGTCGTGTGGTCGTTGGGCGAGATGTTCATCACGCTGTTCTTTCAAGAGTGGCGTCCCATGTATTTCGTCCACCACGCATGTTTGTATGAAATGTCCTGTTTGTTCCAATTGGTTATCAGCTTCATTTTTGCCCGCAGTGGTCGCATGTCGCCGCCTAAATCTGGGGCGTACAGCAGGGCACAGGACAGAAGAAGGCAGTTTCTGTGGACGGCATTCATGTTTTCACTGAATGTCATGCTACTCCTAGCCCAGTTTTTCATCATCACAAGCTACATGTATCTTGAGGGCCGCAGCAACATTGTGGCCGGAATGTTTCTTAGCTTTGGCACGTCTTCTTCGGAGTTGTGGGCTGTCGGCTGCATGGAGATGGTTTACACGAAGCTCATATGGCCACGTGCCGGGGATGCGAAGCGCATCGTTTACGGCGACCAGCATCTACTGGTCTCTATGATGGCTAGCTGGGCCCATTCCCTGTCTGAGGGTACTCGCTTAGTGAGCCTCATTAGTGTGGCTGTGCGTAGCCCTGGCTGGCGCTGGGACTGGCTCGGCAGTGTGCTCCTCATTCTCGCGTGCAATCTGGCCGTCCGACATGGGTACCAGCTGACTTTGTACTCCAAGGTGCTGCCCAAGCGAATCTCTGTGGTACTTTACTGTAACTTTAGATCCTTAGCCTTTTTTGGGTTTATTGGGTTTCTTAACAAGGCAGCTAAAAATTAAATTTATAGCTACCCTGCTAAGTGCAGCCAAGGAATGATGACCTTTGTCAAGCCGGGCTGCTATGTCATCATCCACCGCCAGGCACGCTTCTCCTGCGGGTATCACCGTTTTGTCTTCTGTTCCGCCTACATGGCCTACCGCCTCATTTGGCTCAGTGGTCCTGATGGCCTTGCAGCACCTTTTTTCAACATGCACAGCCTGGCGCTTGCGTTGGTGATCTTCATGTCAGAATTATTAGAAGATGCTGTGGTGCTGCTCCGTCTGCTGCCCATGGATCCGTGGCGCGAGAGCATGAAGCATGCATACGAGCAACTGGGTCCCTTTCACCCGAAACAAGCCATGTGTAAGGATCGGCATGGGATCCATGTGAAAGAGGCACCACTCCGGCTGTATGGGACGAGGCCTCAACATGTGTTGCAATCTTTAGCAATGATGCAAGTCAGCACCAGCATTACCGCCATCTCGTGCTGGCTGTATGTGGGTATGGGGTTTTGGTTGGGGCTATGCCCTGAGCCGATACCACTTTCACTGCGACTGCGGGATTCTTTTTGGTGGTCGCAGCCACTAACTTGCTCATGAGTCAAGCATGTGAAATCTTTGCAGGAGCCGATCAGTCACGCAGAAGTCCTCTGCCTGAGCATCGGCATCCTCATAGCAAATGCGTGATTTTTCGGCAGCGTTGGGTGCGCGTTAGCCCAGAGCGTTTTTAATTTCATAGTTGCAAGGTACTCGTAGCAGACGCGAAAAAAGTCGTCCTGGCTAGGGGCCTATCATACCTCACTTCGTGCGACGCCCCAGTACACCCCGGGCATCACTACATGTTTCCTAAACTATTGTAAGTTCTTGGATCCCCAAAATATACTACGGCACCCTTATATGGAGATTTGCGATATTAGGGGTACCTTATTGGGGTCCTTATTGTACGGGAATCCCACTATTTGGGGGTCTACATTGGGGGGTCCCGTTTTTCGTGGAGACCCTAAACTAAACCCTAAACCCTAAACCCGAAACCCTAAACCCTAAACCCTAAGCACACTAGTGAACCCCCATATAATAGGGACCCCAGAAGGGACCCGAAGTAGGACAGCTTGATTGCAAGGTTCCGCTTCGCCGAAAAGGGCCTGGAAGTGGGAAAGGGCAGGTTTAGGGTTTAGGGCTTAGGGCTTAGGGTTTAGGTTCTCGAATTTTGGGTACTTTTTTTTTTTTTGGGGGTGGGGGGTTCCTTTTTTTCTTACTCAGCCAATAGTTCAACTTCAAGCTTTTTGGGCTTTCTTATTGTTTATAAGAATCATGAAGTTTTGACCTTGTCTCCCTTGGTTTATGGAGCAGTAAGTTCTTGCAAGTGTGCCATATTCTTAGAAGACCCAAAAAGGTACCATAGTTGAGGGAAAGCCTAAACCCTGTTCCCTAAACCTTAAACCCTAAACCATAAACTGCCCAAGCCACCGATGGGTTGCGTTTCGCTTTCAATCCCTATAAACCCGAAACCCCAAACCCCATAAACCCTAAACTTTGGGATGGTCCGACTTGTGACCTCTGGAGCCTTGCCTGCGCGTGTGCTCGTCGTGAGAGTCGAAGACCCTCCGCCAAGGCTCAGGATTGTTTAGGGTTAGGATTTAGGGTTGTAGGGTTTAGGGTTTAGGGTTTTGTTACCCCAAACTTTGGTGTCAGTGTTGCTCGCGGCACGCAGGTGGATGTTGAGGAAAACGCGGCCATCGCCGACAAGTACCGGGTGGATGCGGTTCCCACTTTCCTGTTCTTCAGAAATCAGGCTGGTTCGGGGCCGGGGAGGTTGTAGGATTTTGGGGCATCGTCACCTTAAACCTTATAAACCCTACACTCCATCCTTAGGCAGTTTTCTGCGAGACTTAAACAGGAACGAATTTCTCCATTTCTCTTCGGATGTATCTGACAATGTTCCCCACAATATGGCCTGGGTGTCAGCTAGGCGGGTGGCAGAAAAAAAAAACAACCTGCACCCTTATAACCTTAGAGGGTTCTTAAGGGAGGGGGGTTCATGGGGAGTAGGTGCCCTAAACCCTAGACCCTAGTACCTTTGGAACCTTAAGGAAGCTCAGGGAGCCATAGGGAGTAGCGGGGAGTATTAAGGAGCTTGAACCCCCCTCCCTGAAGAACCCCTTACCTAGAGTCGAGCCTGAGAGCTTTGCGATTAGGGTTTGGGTTTAGGGTTTAGGGTTTAGGGTTTAGGGTTTAGGGTTTAGGGTTTAGGGTTTAGGGTTTAGGGTTTAGGGTTTAGGGTTTAGGGTTTAGGGTAGCTGTCTAAGAGGGCCCCTATCTTAAGGAGTTCCGCGTGCCCTGAGGGGCATTTCGGTTTTTTTTCGAAGCTCTAAAAAAAGGAGCTTAGGGTTTGGGGCAAGGGTTTAGGGTTTAGGGTTTAGGGTTAGGGTTTAGGGGGGATCTTGATGAGCCCAAAATTCAAAATAGATCCCATCCAACCATCCCTAAACCCCTACATCCGAAAAGCCTGAACCCAATAAAAACCCAAACCCTAAACCCCAAACCCGAAACCCCAAACCCTAAACCCTGAACCCTAAACCCTAAACCCTAAACCCTAAACCTGAACCCTCAACCCCAAACCCTAAACCCTAAACCCTAAGCACACTGCGCCGATAAGGAACCCCTGGGGTGCTACGCGGGCTCGGACCCCGACACCCTCACCTTAAGAATCCTCCAGCACAAGTGAGGCTGCCAGAAGTGGGTTTCTCGAATTTCTGGGCCCCCCCTCTAGGGTTTAGGGTGTAGGGTTTAGGGTGTAGGACTCTATAAACCCTAAACCCTAAGCACGAGGCTCCGCGTTTGCACAGGAACCCTACCCCCTAGTTTTCGGGACCTTATCATGCCTAAATGCACGAAACACTCTGACCCCCAACAGCCTTCCACCCTAGAAAGCCCTAATGCCCAAGCACGCACAAAAGCCACTCTGTCGAGAAGCGCGCCAAGTCGAAATCCTAGCTGTAAACCCTGCGACCCCCAAAAAGCCTTAACCCCAAAACCCGAAGCCCTAAGCCCTAAACCCCAAGCCCCAAGCCCTAAACCCTAAACCCTAAACCCACTAAACCCTGAGGCGGCTGCATCCCCGCAACAATGCCTTAAACCCTCGAAAGCCTTCAGCCTCGGAATGCTCCCCCCTCTACTCGCAGTCCTTAATAGGGAGTATCATAGAGGGTAGGATAATCCCGATGAAGGGCTGTTAGTAAAACGGGGAACATCCTTAACCCATAGAAAGCCCTAAGGCCCTGTAAGCACAAGCCCAATGAGTGCCCCAAGCGCCTCAAACTGAACATTTAGGGTTTAGGGTTTAGGGTTTAGGGTTTAGGGTTTAGGGTTTAGGGTTTAGGGTTTAGGGTTTAGCTCTCCGTCTAGTCGGGAATTGTTAAGAAACATCGTGGGGATCAATTGGGGTTTGGGGAAATGCTGACTCTAGACTGACGAAGCATAGTTGAGATTTCAGGAATGTCGGGCCCAGATTTGACTGAGGGAATGCAGTCCGGACTTGGAAAAAAGTAGCGTCTCCGAGAAATTTCCGGGGTTGGACTGTGAGCCCGACACCGCCAAAAACGAAAGCTTTGAACGCTCAGGTGTAGTAGGATCTAGGTTCTAAACCCCAAACCGGGGTTCTAAGGGAGTATAGGATATGGGCTTAGGGTTTCGGGTCAGCGTCGTGAAGCCTGTTAGACAAGGGATTTGGGGTTCGCACAAATAGCGTATGTAGTTCAAAGCCGTGGAGCGTTTATAGGGTTTACCTGAAGGCTCCACTGTAGTCCCGGTAGGGTTAGTTATAGGGGATCCTGGTACCCCCCCAAAGGTACTACAGTTCTAGGCTTCATGTGGTCCGCCAAGCTAGGATGCAGGGTGTACTGGGGGGCCGGGGGGCCGGGGGGGAGGGGGGCAGCATACCATAGCGACTGTAGGTTAAGGACGTGTATCCGAACGAGTGATCAGTGATCATTATAACCCCAATTCAGCCAATTCAGGGCCCTTGTGACTTCCCTAAACCCTAAACCCTAAACCCTAAACCCTTCTTATAGCTAAGGGGGGGTGGCCTCTGCTTGTAGGGTTCAAACTGATTCAGGATCTGGTCACCCTCAAGGGTTTAGGGTTTAGGGTTTAGGGTTTGGGGTTTAGGGTTTAGGGTTTAGGGTTCAGGGCTAAACCCTGAACCCTACCCAAAGGCTCCGGCATCATCTACGGTCATATACCCTACGCTACCATAATCGGGTCCCCTAAACCCCTATGTTTTAAACCCTAAACCCTAAGCCCTAAACCCTAAAACCTAAGCCCTAAACCCTAAACCCCAAACCCTAAAACCCAACTAATTCATTCAGTGACGGGACCGCGGGCTGCAGGTTTCGGTGTTTGTTGTTGCCGTAAAGTCCTGGTTTGTTTCGGGTTTAGGGTTTGGGGTTTGGGTCGGGTGTATCTAGGGCTTCTGATTAGAGGGCAGAGGGCTTCTAGAGGGTTTAGAGGTCTCTCTTTGGAGTCGTGACCCACCCTGGTGCATTCCCTATAAACCCTAAACCCTAAACCCTAAACCCTAAACCCTAAACCCTAAACCCTAAACCCTAAACCCTAAACCCTAAACCCTAAACCCTAAACCCTAAACCCTAAACCCTAAACCAAAACCCTAAACCCCAAATCCTAAACCTATTCGCAGGTTCAAGCTATGTGAAAGCCCCCGTGGCAAGGGGCAGGGGCGCCTGTCCGTGCCGCCATGGCACCAGGCGCCGGCCCACGAGTTTGCCACATTCTGGCTCCTTGGGCCCGAAGATCGCGGGTTGAGGGTTTAGGGTTTAGGGTTTAGGGTTTGGGGTTTAGGGTTCAGGGTTTAGGGTTTAGGGTTTAGGGTGTAGGGTTTAGGGAGTAGACAATCCTATTATTTGCTCAAGAATTCCCCCCCCCCCCCCCCAAAAAAAAAAAAAAGCTTCCTTGTAAGGTCAATATGGGGATCTTTTTTTTTTTGGGGGGGGGGCTCGAAATAAGCAAATCGTAGAACTGGGGGAGACCCTAGTCTCAGGGCTTCGGCTGGGTGGGCATCCTTTCAAGAGGCATACAGAAAAGGTTCGTCAGCCAAGCACAGCCCAATGAAGCTGACAAACCCTTAAAAAAACCCTAAACCCCTAAACCCTGACCCCTAAACCCTGACCCCTAAACCCTAAACACCCCACCCAGGCCTTTTGGTGGCCAGTTTTCGCTCAGCCACTAGCGGCGGAGCCCTGGGTCGTGCCACAAGCGCCTGGGCTGTGGATTGCACATATGCTATGGTTTAGGGTTTAGGTTTAGGGTTTAGGGTTTAGGGTTTAGGGTTTAGGGTTTAGGGTTAGGGTTTAGGGTTTAGGGTTTAGGGTTTAGGGTTTAGGGTTTAGGGTTTAGGGTTTAGGGTTTAGGGTTTAGGGTTTAGGGTTTAAGGTTAGGGTTGAGGGTTTAGGGTTTAGAGCTACGCTCTCAGTTCCTTTTTCTATGCCGATGGCATGTAGCACACCCCCTCACTTGGAGGCACCTGAAAAAAGTGACCAGCCATCAGCCCTGCCACAGCCAAGCTACCAGGGTTTAGGGTTTAGGGTTTAGGGTTTAGGGTTTAGGGTTTAGGGTTTAGGGTTTAGGGCTACCAGGAGTCAACAGTCATTGAATATGAGACACGAGCACTACCGGGAGGTTCAGGGTACTTCTAACCCCAAGCACAACTGCACTTGTATGCCCCCCCCCCCCCCCCCAAGTTCTCTACGTAGGTTGTAAGTAGACTTGTAATGGAATAATTGGGGGTAGAAGAACCCAAGAACCTCCAAGTCCTGCAGCTCAATGCGGATTGCCCAAGACCCCAGTATTTAAGGCCTTTCATCTGTTTTTTGGGGGGCCGAAGGCCTTTTTATTTGGGGTCTTGGGCTCTTAGGGTTAAGGCTCCTATTAAATACGTCTACTTGGGTCCCGGAGTAACCAAGGAAAGTCTGTTTAGCCCGAAAAGTCCTCGTTTAATGCACCAAACAGGGCACCTAGTTCCCATCCCCCCGCGCAATGGACTCTGTGGAAGGGTTCGGGTCACATTAGGGTTTCGGGTTTAGAGTTATGGGTGGAGGTTCTGGTTGTTTTTTGCGTACGCTATTATTTGCTTCCGTGCCTTTGGAACCTTGAGCTCTATGCGACGTCCTCCAGCGTAATTAGGCCACCCAATGTCCCACAAGAGGGTTGTAGGTGAGTTGACCCAAACTATGGAGAAGAACAAGAACCGATAATAGTCTACAAATAAGCTTCAGAACCCATCAAAACTGAGCAAGACTCTTCCTTATCTGGTTGTATTGTTTGGGGTAGCTGATAGTCCTTAATGGGGATTATAGTGCCCCCCCCCCCTATTATGATCCCTAGTAAGGGCTGTTACTTGGAGGTTCCTGGTACTTAGTAACCCAATTATAACCCAATTGTAACCCTATTAGGGTACTTAAGGGGCTTATATGTGGGTTATAACTACACTTCTAATGGGTTACTAAGTACCAAGTAGTATAAGGTGGAACACCCTAAACCCTAAACCCCAAACCCTAAACCCTAAACCCTAAACCCAAGATAGGAAAAAGGACCAAAGAGGAGCCGCAATAAAAATTGGGGGTAAGGTACTCCAAGCCCGAAGCTCTGAAGGCCCAAACGATAGGGTTTAGGGTTTAGGGTTTAGGGTTTAGGGTTTAGGGTTTGGGGTTTGGGGTTTGGGGTTTGGGGTTGACTGGCATGAAGCAGTTTCAGGGTTCATTCAGGATTTGCCGCAGGTGCAGCCAGAGCAGTGGGGCTACCAAG